AGTAAGGGTGTGTCACAGTAAGGGTGTGTCACAGTAAGGGTGTGTCACAGTAAGGGTGTGTCACGGTAAGGGTGTGTCACAGTAAGGGTGTGTCACGGTAAAGGTGTGTCACGGTAAGGGTGTCTCGACGCAGCAGGCATGGCTTCGTGTGCTTACATCGTAGGCGCCGGCCTTGATCTGCTGATACAGACGGTGCTGGTCCTCATCCCAGAAGGGTGGATAGCCAACCAACAGTATGTACAAGATTACTCCTGAAACAGCGAAAACAAACGTGAGCAAGATGGAACGAACGCCATGCAATCTGCACTATGATAACAGTCAGGATTACGCAACAGAATGTTTTGGTACCATAATGAACCAAGTAATGCTGGGCTAACATCAGAGACAATGCATTCCTAAGCCTAAATAAATCCCAATAATATAACCCAGTTAAACAAAGCTTTTTGAAAAGAGATGAGGTAATGCCATGGATAGGTAACAGTACAGTAACACCTGAGGCAAGATATTGCCAGGGTAGCATATATGCTTTGTATCAAGAGTAACCCCTGAGCAGTCTGGGTAAAATTTTAGGACAGGTAACAACACCCTAACACATGAGACCAGATAATGCCAACGTAGCACATAGGGCAATTAACACAACCATAACACCTGCGATCAGGTAAGGCTAAGGTAACATATACGGCAGTTAACACCAGATAATATCACCTGAGACCACATCAAGCCAACGTAACATTATAGGACAGGTAACAAAACCATGACACCTGACACCACATGAGGCTAAGGTATCACATGGGACAGGTAACAAAACCATAACACCTGACACCACATAAGACCCAGGTAACATAACAGGACAGGCAAAACTAGCAAAACACATGAGTCCAAATGAAAGACAGGGTAACATATTACTAAAGATAACACTAGAGTATAACATGTGGTAATGTCAGGGCCATAACATATAGGAAAGGTAACACAAGCACAATCTCTGAGGCCATGTGAAACCAGGATAATATAATAGAACAGGAAACAGTAGTGTAAGACGTGAAACCAGTCAATTCCCGGGTAATGCACAAGGGACACGTATAACGTAGTAACACAAGCATAACACATGAGACCATGTAAGGAGCATATCATGAAATATTAGCGCAGCCGGAACCATAAGTGGCCTTCTCTGCCTTAAGGTAAGTCCTAGTGTACAGTGTGGTCACACCGCTAATCAATATTCGCCCATGGATGTAATCCTGCAGAATTAGTCAGCTGGATAGAGATAGGCCGCACAGCATGCATCAAGTAATGAAACAGCTGTGACAACGGTTTGTGAGAAACGTGCTCATTCGCTCCGTACATACCACAAGCCCACACGTCTACTGGCTTGCCATATGGATCTTTTTTCAGCACTTCCGGCGAAAGATACCCAGGGGTTCCGGCAAAACCTGCAACAATAATTGTTGACACTGTCAACGCACGTGAGCGGAGAGAAAGCGCTGTCGCCGCCGCTACATCGGCATGAAATATCACGTACAGTCCGACTGCAGAGCGAATTCATTGTTGAATGAGTAATACTCCATTAGGAGTGTTCTCAACTTTAATGTCATTAATGGTCATAATAACATATATATATATACCTATATATGGTCATGGTCATATATTAGTTTGTGGTTTAATTTCATTTAGGTTAGGGTTAGGGTTAGGGTTAGGATTATCAATCATTAATCATTAATCATTAATCATTAATGATATCAAAGTTGGGAACACTCCTAATGGAGCGTTAGCCAAGCATTTTCACCCGCCCCTCTGTCGCCCTGCCGCTGCGGTGGGCACGAGATCGGCACCGAAATCACGTCGCGGTGCGCTACGGTAAACAACGGGAGTAACGGAAGGAGAATGCTCGTTATAGCTCACCGAACCATGCCTGCTGGTCGCCCTGCACCTCGATCGCCAAGCCAAAGTCCGCTAATTTAACTGCTGCTCCCTTGGCTTTCGAGGCTAGCAAGAGGTTCTCCGGCTGCGAATCGTGACAGGCGGCAGGAAATTAAATTTTCATCATACAAACTGTACAAGTTTAACTACAACGCGCGCAGCACGGCTACTCTCGCCGAGAGCACTGCGAGGTTTTAATGGCTGCTACCGTGCCGACAGACACAGCGGCGAGAGAGATCCAAACCATCACTGCGATGCGAGCCAAATCGAAAGAGCTGCCATGCACACACACCGATGCAATTACTACGGCCCGTATTTCATAGGCGCCGTTATTTCTTTGAGACTGCTTCATGAATTCTGAATTGTTATCGTTTACTCGCGTCAGCGAAAGGCTGGCATATATGTTCGTGTAATGAGAGAAACGTAGCGACAGAATCGGCTTGCGTCCGAGGCGACGCCTGGCGAGCTTCAGACTACAAACCTTTAGATCCCGATGAACTATGTTGTGTACATGGCAATACTCTACGCTTTCTAGAATTTGTTGAATGCAGTGACTGCAACAGAGAAGCACAAACGTAATCAACAAACTGCCATCGTTTACATAAATATTGCATAAGTAAACATGCATAAGTGGTATACTGCAATGGTCATCTAGCCAGAAGGACCTGCTTTATCAGGCTCTGTAGTAGTATGGATGCGATGAGGCAGCAAATCAGGGCAAAAAAATGAAAGTGCAATGTTATATAAAAAAATACAACATTCGATGATATCAGGTATGAGCGCGCATGAATAGGACCGGCACACCATGTGTGGCTGTAATTACATCGATCCCTCATCCCTGAACCAAATACAATAGATTACTGAAATTCAAGTGGCCATGGTGCACCCCCCCCCACCCATTCCCTGCATAAAATGTTTGCCTTGGTGGTCACTTAAAATGTCAGACTAAAAAAACTTGCACTGCCCTGTCAAAAATTAACGCATAATGCTTACTTCCTAAAAATCACGCCCTACCCTCGCAGCAGCTACCCCACCTGTAACTAGTGTGCAGTGTTAATCCCGGGTCACAACAGATCGTACGAAATTTTGTCATGGGAGTCGACCCATAAAATATTTGTCGTGGCCAGATCTTGCAACATGCCCGAAATGTATTTCGAGTGGTCACAAGGGCTACGACACATTAAAGATGATTTGGTGATGGGGACGCGACAGAAAAAAAAGATATGTCGTGGTTATGTCGTGGGTGTGTCGCAAGTCAGTCGTGCGACTGTCGCACAACAGTCGTGGGTCACTCGTGGGTCACTCGTGGGACGCTCGCGCGTCCGTCTCCCGACTATATAACGACGTATTATCGCACGACAGTCGCAAGACGGTCGTAGGACAGACTCACGACAACCAGAAGACATAGATACCACAAAAAATCGTGGAACAAAAAAGGTGCAAGTTCAATTTTGCCTCACGACGGCAAGTCGATGCCACGATGCTCAAAATTTCGTAGGACTGTCTTGCGACGACCCCCGATGACCCACGATTTGCCCAAATTTTCTGTCGTGTCGTGGAACAAATGCGTCGTTGGCTCGTTGTGACCGAGGCTTTAGGAGCTACTATTCACAAAAGCAACAACAACAACCACAACCACAACAACAACAACAACAACAACAACAACAAAAGCAACAACAACGCGATAAAGGAACACGACTGTGGGCGAACCCCCAATACAGCATCTCGACTACAGGAAACTTCTTGTCCTGCAGGCGTGCCACCCGCACTCTAATATCCAAGACATTCACGGTGCATGCATGCACTCTCCATACATGTGACTGATTGCTAACAAGCCGGATTATCATGGCTGCCCATTACGCAATTCGCAAAATATATTTGGCAGAGGTAATTTGCGGAGGATAGTTGCGTGGCGTGAATGTCATGCTCGTGTTTCAGGCTGCCTTTCCGTGTTACATAAATTAACCATCTAGCATCACATCACAGAGTTGAGTGCTCGGGTTAGGTACATCTCAATGGCGGAGGGGTGGGGGGGCCGCACACGACATCGCGTCTGCAAGCTAACGAGCCGAAAACAATAATCATAATGATAACATGCAACATTCAGTGTCGGGGGTGTGGGGGGGGGGGCTAGGTGGTTTCTACAGGGCTGTTCGCTGTTAATTAGGAGCTGGTTGCGTCTTGCGACGTGCTAGAAGGAGGTTCGGGGAAAAATTCGTGCACGTACCCAGCCAAAAACTGGAGCGAGATTGAATGAATTTCGTCGCATTATTAAACGACGAATGGCGAAAAAGCCACTAACGAATGCTGGAATGTAGTGAGGGATGCGGCTCACCGCACTGTATCCTCATGCCAACGGGGGGGGGGGGCCAGGGAGATCACGATGAGATCATTACCGGGATCGTGATAATGGCACAGCAGCGAATGCCCGCTGCCTACGCCTTCTTCGAGACCAATTTTCTTCCCACTTACCTACTTCCTATTGTCCTAGCTGCTTCCTACTTACTTTCCTTCGTACTTTCTTCCTTATTTTTTGTTACTACATCACTTACTACTACCTTCCTAGTTACCTACTTCTCTTCCTTCTTCCTTTTACCTGCTTTCGCCCAGAATACTCTTGCTATTTTGCTCGAGAAGGGTGTAGCAAAACAGAGAAACTTGCCATACCTATGAGGAAAGTACCGCGAAATAGGAAATAGGCGTTGACCATTTTTTAAGATGATTACGACAAAATAGAACGATACCATCGGCTGTTTTTATGACAGACATGACACAACAATAGGCACTACCAGTTTGTTGACTACGGAACGTACTACCGTAAGGAAGACTGATATTCAATTATTGGCTTATTATTATTAAATTAATAGAATAATTCAATTGGCTTGTGGAGGGTATGACAAAACAGGCGCTACATGCTCTTTGCGCTTCTACTCGCTACGTGACAACATGGGCGTCAGAAGTTTTCTCCGATGAGGGAAGACACAAAGTAGGAGGTGACAGCCAGCCATGCAAACACGGGCGCCGATTGTTACTCACCTAGCGTCTGCCTCACTATAGAACTCCCTGGCAACAATGTCCTCAAACAGTTCTCCGCCGGTGACACTGAAACAGAAGTGACGCCACCGATCAATACGAGTGCCGCGCAAAACCTCTGCATCCCCCCCCCCATCCCCGCCCACATTGTACACCTCTCGGCTTGTCAGCTGAAAGGATATGATGATGTGCCAGCGAGTATAAAGCCTACTCTCTAATAGTGTCTAGGACTCTAGGTGTAGGGATAATACGTTACCATGGTCAAGCCTGACACAGCAATCATCACATTAGAACCAGGGGGGGGGGGGTTAAACCACACGATAACCAACGCATGGATTTACGCATAATTACAAGACACACCTACAATACCGCGCAGTATGCGTCTTCACGCCGGCATACATCATGCACAAGCAGGTGTGCACATGGTTACGGTATAACATACATGTATTGCAGTATTACGGTATAACATACATGTATTGCAGTATATGTATATCTGGTTACAAAGAAAATATCTGTCTATGTACTAATTTCGGAAATATCTGTCTGTGTACTAATTTCGGAAAATAATTGCGCAAAATATGTCGCATCTATGCTCATAGGCCGCGATCATCAACAAGGCTATATGCTTGGGGGTTACAGCTAATGAGCACATCCACACCGAGACTCTGTCCCTTCCCCATGCAGATTCCCTATACCTACATTGACGCCCACAACCTCACGTTGTGCAAAATGCCCCACAGCTAGTTATAGTGCTGATGGCGCACCCACGCAGACACGCAACCCATGTAGCCAAACCCACGTCTATTTACAGGCTTCTTAACATTGGTTTAGTGGCACCTTCCATTACACTCGTGTATTTAAGTGGGTATCTAAGCGTGGAGCCATGTGTTTGATCTACACACAGCGAATCCCTGGAGGCGGTGTGGCTGTCACGACTGAGACCTACGGTAACACGACTTCCTATATATCGGTTACGCACGAATCATGGTCGCTGTCTGCAATGCAGACGAGGAAACTGCGACGACTGTCAGGAACTTAAAATTAAACTGAACACCCTTCGATTTCCATATGTAAGCAAAGTGTCAATGACGCGACGCTTTCTGTGTCATGTTGACCTTTCTCTCAATGGGAGCTATTGGGTTCATCCAGCCCGCGTTCATCCTATCTAAGGATTGCCTCAGCAGATGGGAAAATGTGTTTAACCAATAATGGCCATAAAGGATTGCTACGGGACTGATTACATTGCATCCATGTAACGTATGTGCTAGTTCCCGCTATTGATTATGGCCTGTATTATTCAATACGTGTTCATGAATGTTCCCACTGCATAGGTTGATATAAGCACCCGTAGTGTAGGCGTCATTTGCCTCGAGCGTTCAAGCAAACAGTGAGCGGTTTTGCCAGGGAATTTAAATAGTTTTCAATATATCTCACTTCGAAAACCGAAAAGACACCATGATAGAGCATGCTTCCACGAGATGATGCTAGCCAAAGTTCAATTACGGAAGTGGTTTGAGAGATATATCATAACCAATTCATCAACCTTTTGTTTAAGCTCATATATTTTATTCATTACTCTAGGAGTCTAGCCAGTGCTAGCTATTTCAACCAAAGCCTGGTAGCGAAACAGAAATCAGATCAGTAGCACTTGTAACTTTAACGGCATTTCTCATTTTCCGCACAAAAATCAGCCTCGTTAGTTATTTATGCGTTACACTATACCCAATTCGAGCGATCTCGACGCAGAAGGTGAACAGCAAGCACCGTGCCTACACATAACACAGCAGGAATACCCAGAGATGAAGCCTGCTGTACAGGGAAACGGACATCCATGTACAGAGACGCGTACACCACACGCGAATGCCAGTGCTTGCACGCGCAAGTGAAAACCCACGCGCACAGCTCAGTATCCGAACAAATTTGAACAACACCGAACAACACCAAACAAATTTGCAAAATCAAGTTTCCATGCAAAAATAAATACCCTAGGTGTCCGCCTACTCTACCGTCCGGAAACAAATTGAGCGCACTTGAGCGAATTTCTGCGGGGTTGACATTTTACGCGGTCGTTAATCAACATCGGCGCACTCTCTCTCTCTCTCCCTCACTCTATCTTCTTCCTCCCCCCTTCTCTCTCTCCTTTACCCTATCTTCTTCCTCCCCCCTCTCTCTCTCTCTCTCTCTCCCTCACTCTATCTTCTTCCTCCCTCTCTCTCTCTCTCTCTCTCTCTCTCTCTCGCTCTCTTTCCTCTTTCCCCCTATCTCTCACACACTCTCCTCCTCCTTCCACGCTCTACCCCCTCTCATTCCCCTTCCCCTCTCTCTCTCTCTCTCTCTCTCTACTCTCTCTCTCTCTCTCTCTCTCTCTCTCTCTCTCTCTCTCTCTCTCTCTCTCTCTCTCTCTCTCTCTCTCTCTCTCTCTCTCTCTCTCTCTCTCTCTCTCTCTCTCTCTCTCTCTCTCTCTCTCTCTCTCTCTCTCTCTCTCTCTCTCTCTCTCTCGCTCTCTCTCCCTCTCCAGCAGCGCGATGAGCACACACGATGCGAATGATTCCTAGGTGAAGTCTAATCAGCATTAAGTCGGTAATTGCCACCTTATTACAACGACAGCCCGACGAACCTGCTACACAGAGCGGATGCGCACCGGTGCGTAAACAAACATACGCTGAACGCTAACATTGTAAACACGTAGCGGAGTAGCGGCTGCAGAATAGAGGAGGCCGAGACTGAGCAAGCCGAGTAGGACGCGTCTGCAAGGTTCAATATAACCCCACCGCTGACCCATCCCTGACCCCAACTCCCTAACATTGACCACATTGTTGACCCCTTAGGTGATCAGACCACGGATGCTACTCTGACCTCACCGTTGAACCCACCAGTGACCCAGCCTTTGACTACACAGTTGGACCACCCGTTGTCGCCACTGCTGACTCAACCACTGACCGGACACCTGCCCCCCACTGTTGACCCTACCACTGATTCCACTGCTGACCCGACCACTGACCCAACCGTTGACCCTACTACTGACTCCACTGCTAAACCAACCAGTGACACTACCATTGACCTCCACCGTTCAACCTACCACTGAGTCAACCGTTCACCCCACAATTAAGACGGCCCCTGACACACGTGCTGCTCACAGGGAGCGGTTAAGGTACGTGCAAACTTGTATACCGGCAAACCGGCAAGCATGAATGATATGGCGCGCCGTAAAGCGAAAACCCCGCACTCGACAATAGCAAAGCTGACCGCTGTTTGCAATCGCTAATGGCAATCGCTCTCGCTCCTCTCTATTTCATTCTCTAGTTTCTCTCACTCCCTCTCTCTCTCTCTCTCTATATATATATATATATTTATCCCCTATCTCTTTCATTCTCTGGCACCCCTTTCTCTTCATCCCTTTCTCTACGTCGATGTTTCTCTCTATGGCTTTCTCCCTCTCTCTCGTCCTTAATATTCTTCGCTGATATTCATTCGTGCTATCAATTCCCTGCCCGTTCCCTGCACTTTACCGTTCCATTCCGACCCTTTCGCCCTCCCTCCTTCTTTTTGCTTCCCTCCCACCCGAACATGCCTTCGCCGCCCCCGATTTCGCCTGTACCTCCCCTTCCCAACAGATTTTTCCCGTACCCCCATTCACGCTAGATTCTTTGTCTTCTGTGCCTCTCCCTATTACTCCTTGCTTTTCTCTCTCGTGATCTCTGCAGACGTCTGTTTCTCTTCGCAGCGCTGTGAAGCCCACGCGCGCGTCTGCATCATGTTTGGCAGCAATTAACTCGACCATTATCAGCCACCCGGGGGGAAAGCATGCCTCGCAGGCGCTCCATATTGTGCGTGCATGATGGCCGATTGCCGCGCTATGCTGCTGCTGTTACGCGGGCGCGCGCGCGCTACACTTGCCGACTACCGCGCTTGCCCGCTCCGCTCGATCTAGACTGACACCAGAGAGGCGCGTAGCTGAACCAAAACGCTGCTTTTCGACGACGCACGGCGTCAGTCTATTGCCCGCCGTCGATCTTCTTCCCTGTCTTCACCCCGCTGCGTTTTTTTCTCTCCCGCTCTCCGCCGCCAGTGATCCTCGGCTTTCCGCGCACGCGCGCCTGCTGCAGCTCCCTCCCCCCATGCGATGCGCTATTAGACGCGAGACGTTTTGCTGGGAACATCGAATAAATGTAATAATTGCTCGAGCAACAACGGAATGAGAAAACGAGCCGAGCTGCTATAGTATTGCACGCGGGGCGCTGGGCGCTGCCTGCGCGCGCGCGTCCTCGCCGCCGCGGGTTCTCTGCTACTACACATCGCATGTTTTTACAGTGAGTCAGTAATCAATGAAAGCCGATAGCGCCCCCGAATAACAATATCACCGCGAGTGATGCGCAGACGCGTTTGTTGTGTTACGCGCTGTAAGAGAATTGCGCGATCGGTAAATGCTGCTACACACCGAGAAGGCACTGAGCAAACAACTTCTTAACGAGAGGGGAGCACGTAAGAATGCCCCCCCCACCCCAACCACCCACCCCACGTCCGCTCGCGATGCGTGCGAGATTGTTACCTCGCCGCCTGAGTATCAGTTACGTACGAAAACCGTCTCAACGGCAGATTTACACTGGAAGCGCAGCGAAAAACGTTCCACAGTGTACGAGGATGCGAGAGCCGCGAAGCTGCCTGCACCAGAAAAGCTCCATAAGAGCACTAACACCACGTTCGCGCAAACGCACGCACGCACGCACGCACGCACGGTCTTGCTGTATCAGCATACAGTCGCCGTCAAGCGCAGACGATCGCACGCGCACGATCTAATAGGGGAATCATGACGCAACGCCGGGTGAACGCGCCGATCCCTCTCGCGCTCTCTCTCTCTCTCTCTCTCTCTCTCTCTCTCTCTCTCTCTCTCTGATCTTCTCTCATCTTCATCTCTCATCTCTCATCCATCTCATCCTCATCTCTCGATCTCTCTCTCCCTCTTCTCTCTCTCTCTCTATTCTCCTCTCCTCCTCTCTCTCTTCTCCACTACATCTCTCTCTCAGTCTTTATCTCCTCTCTCTCTCTCTCTTTATTCTCCTCTCCTCCTC